CCCAACAGACTTAGCAGCTGGATGCTTCTCTTCAAGCTGCCAGGCTGCATATTAGCAATTGGATTATATCGGCTGATACAGCTCCTTAAAAAGCCATTGGTATCAGCCCAAAAAATCTCTGTTGGTGCACCCTTAGAAAAACCCTATATGGTATATATTTTGCCAGTAGCATATACAGAATAACTTGCCTGAAACTAATGAACATCCTCCTAACTGAATTCTAATTAAGGACACACACACACCTGACTTAAGATATCAGTCCACTGTTTGCAATGGTTTTATGCATGAGTGTCTGTCTGTTCTGAAGGAGCCAAGGATAGCATTTACTATCCTCTACCTAGCACCCCACCCCGCAAAAACATTTCACCATGGTAACCTCATTTACAGAAAGAAAGCTGCACAAAGCTTCTACTGAAGCCGCACAAACGCTGCTGTAAATATGTGGTATGCTGAAGAAGTTTCTTGAAGCCTCAGGTGCTCAGTCTTTTTTTTCTGTCTGCTCTTTCTTTTAAAAAGGCTAGTTTGTGACAGGACAGTGGATGGATAAGGGCACCTTCTTTTTAACATAACCCCTTCTTTGCATCTTCCTCCTACCTCACTTAAAAGTTTTCATTAGCACTGCAGAAGACCAAAATGGATTCAATTCCCATTTATGTATTACCAAAGCTGTCAATAAAATTCCGATCACAGATAGTTTATCTAATGGTGAAGAGAACCAGAACAACCCAGCTAAGTTTCCTGATCCCAGCTTGGCTGTGCATAGCCACTAGTTACAAATCATAAAGTTCCCAAGTGAGGCTATTTATTCAGCAGGAAACAAACTAAAGTATTATTGTGACTACAGTCACAATAAAATTACACTCCAATTTGATGCTACAGAGACTTACAACTAAATAAGGAGGAAGATATGTGCCCCAAGAGACAGGGAGAATTCACCTGAGACTTATCAGTGTCTCGACTTAGTCTATGCCAGTAGTTCTCAACTCGGGTGGCCCAAGGCCCCCTTAAGGGTGCCATGACAGTGTTCCAAGCTGCTGCCGCACCTGCAAGCAATCCTGCCTGCACTGGGGGGCTCTCTGATCAGCTTAAAGTGGGAAGGAGAGATGGTCTGTGCTACAGCCCTTCCCAGTCTGCCCCCTGCATGCTCCTCCCAGAAACAAAGACAGGACAATTCCACCTGCCCAAAATGCCTCTGTTTCCAGGAGATGCCATGCAGAGTTGGACCAGGACAGGCTGTAGCACAAGCCAGGTATCTTGCACACTTCAGGCTGAGCAGAGACCTCTAATGCATGTGCTGCAGCTTTCCCAGACTGCCTGTACACAGAGCATTCTCACTGCTGAGGTAGCAGCTTTCAATCTGGAGGAGCCATGCAGCATAACTGATTTCTGTATAAATCTCCTTCTGTCACTGAAACATTAGAATAACTGCATAAACTCTCTAAAAAGATACAATTAGCTCACTGTCTAAACAGGCATTGCTAGGGACACATTATTCCAGATTTAATATGGATTTTTTTTTTTTAACTGGACAAAGATCACTATAGTGGTTTTCAGAAAAATAAAAGACTTTTATTGTGTGTCTTAACTCTTCAATGTCCACCTCCCCCTTTCAACACAGGAAGGTTTTTTCATGGTCCCTCCATGCCTCTTCTAAGCACTGTCCATACAAAATACATGAAGTAGATTGCAACAGTTCAGTGGTTCTCAACTGGAGATGCTTCCACATTCAAAAAAGCTGTGGACAAGTGCCTCCAAAGAACTTGTGCCCGATTCTAAAAACATTAAGGTTCACTCATCTACGCTATACCATGGGACTGCTACTGCCTTAATTTTAGTGTCTACACCAGGTGTGTAAAACTCATCTGGCCCCATGGGGCCAGATGAGTGTCATGGGGCCAGTCCACAGGCCAGGCAGGACCCACAGACCAGCCCTGCATTCTGGATCTGGAGTGGGCACTGTGCGTGGCATAGCTCTGCTCCAGCAACTCTGGAGCTCTGCAGCATGGCCCTGGAGCTGAGCAGGTGCGGGACTGCATGCAGCGTGGCCCTAGAACCCCAGAGCACCATGCTGCCTGCAGCACCCGCTCTAGGATATGAGCTGGAACAGGCCACCCATACAGTGTGTGGGGCCATCCAGTGTGCTCTGCATGTTGCTTGTGGGTCACTCCAAGCCCCACAGCCAGCACCAGGGGCCAGATGACAGCTCCACAGGCAGATCCAGCCTACAGGCTGTGTATTTAACACCCAAGGGTTCTGATAACACTTTGCTGGCAAAACTGAGTCCATGCTGGATGTTTTGATAGCCAAAGTATGTTGACTACAGGGTGCAATCTTTTTGTATCCCATGCCAAACAGCTATTGCACAAAGCTATTGATTTCCTACACTCATCCATCCGGACTGTACAATTAATTGTGCTACACACTATCCTTTGAGGAGAGCTGCCTACGCTGCAGTGGAAATGCTCTTCTCTCATCAGGGAAGCTGTTTTCCATTGCTATCCTTGGTGAGCAAAAAAAAATTCCCATTCCACCTAAATGTATTAGCAGGCAGTCATTCCCTAGTGTCCTTGGCATAATGGCTTGATCTACTATTACCTGAAGATGTGGATGACTGTCCAAGAGTGATTTTACTAAACCTTGTTCATACCACATTCTTGGACAATTAACAGCATTTGTTCTTAAGTGATCTAAACTTCAGAGTATGACTTCCCTTATTCCTTTTAAACCAGGCGCATAACATCTGTTCAAAGCTCACAACTGGGGGGAAAAAGTAAAACCTGGAAGCAATCAGATTTCACTCATTTTCGCTGGTCTCCTCCCCTTGACCTGCCATGTAGGTCCAAAGAGAAGTTACTGATCTGCAGCGTGGGGGGGGTCACTCTAGAATGGCGGCTGTCACCCATCCAAGACTCAAAAGGAGCCCTGCAAAGATTCAGGGCCCCCTCAGAAGATGCCAACTTGCCTTTTTCTGGCTACAGAAAAACATCAGAGCCATTCCGGTGCTGCAGGGCAGAACAGTGCCGACACCGGGGACGCCTGGTGGAAATCTCCAGGTCCGTCTTGTGAATCACACGTGCGTGGCGCTCGCAGCACACGGCACCCCCGTGAGGACCTCAGGGCAGTGTGGGGCAGGGCAGACAATCCCTGCTCGGGTGTGAAGGGCCGCTCAGCTTTCTAGGGCCTGCCCCAAGGCCCCCCTCATTTTGATCTGCCAGGCTGGGGGCTGACAAAAGAAGTGCATATGGAGCAGTCCGTCCCCCCACCCGAACCGCGGCTCACCTGCCGGGCGGGCACTGTCGCGCGGGGCGCTGCTGGCGCGGGGCGGGGCGGCGGGGCCAGGCCGGGGCAGCG